ATACCAAATTTGTTTTTAATATTTCATGAAAACTCCACCACAACCTACAATTATTTGAGAGCCTTCAATGAACTATCCACGTTGCAATTGGTACATAAATACAATTAAAAGGTACGTGTCTAAGGCATACAACTCCAAATGTGTGTATAAGGATTTCCATAGAGAGGGATGACATCTGTAACATTTACCTTTGCCTTATTAATCCATTGCTTTTTTTCATTTGATGTATATTTTTTTTAATGAAATTCTATTATATGCTTTCAATTAATATCTTCAGTATATTTATTAGTTAGTAGACTTGTTATAATTTTTTTACACTCCATTATAAGTAGGAATGAATTTTTTATGTAAGTATAATTTTTTTGTTTATGTCTTATTTGGTAGTCATTAAAAGAGTGACAGTTACACATGAATAAATAAATAAATGTATAATTTATGCATGATTCATGATGTTAGATGAAATTTTTTTGTGTAACACTTGAGAAGGGACACTTTTTAAGTCTATTCTTAGAATAATTCTTTTTCTTTTCTCTTCTATCTTGCCTTTTCAAGTTATTTTAAGAGTTTGCTAATACGGTCAAACCTGGTGGTATAATGTTTGCTAATGTTTTAAGAGTTTCTACTCCCGATATTATTATTTTAAATTTGTATGGTTTTCTTCTTTGGGTTTAAGCATCCTCTAATTGCCTTAAAAAAAGGGTATTTTGAAAATATTTTTATTAAATAAGATGAAATTATTTGCAACATACCAAAGAGAACATTACATTAAGTTTTTGGTAAATTCTATCAAACTTAGTAATTTTTGCATTTACTTTACACTTTTTTATAAAAAATAATCAACTGTATTTTTTTCAATATCATTAATTGTATTTATCATTTTTTTTAGAAAGATATACACGCTAGCTCTGATGAACCCTAAAACAATCTTTTATTTTTTTTAAATTGATATTGACAGCCTACCAAAAACGACATTAAATATAAATATTTTAGTTAAATAAAATTCTAATGATGTAATTGATAAATCATACTAACAATATTTAAATAACAACATTTAAAATTTGTTTTACAAGTGGTTGACTATTTCAATGTTTGAGGTGCCAGATATTCCAATAGCTGTAGCTGCTAATACAATGGTAGAGCTGAGTAGAGCTAATTGGCAAGATAGGGCTGACTAAGATGTTAGTGACTCTAATATTCCTGCACGTCCTACGTTTTGCCATCAAAGCAAACTTGCATATGGAAATGACCAAGGTTGTATAACAATACACAAGAATAATAACAATACAACCTTTTCCTTAGTCACATGTATCATACGATATTATTAAATTCAATTTAAAATTAATTTTTAAAAAATATTATTTATTAATAAATTTTGTTAAAAAATTTCTTTAAAAATTCTTTTAGGCTGCCCTCTCTCTCTTTTTATAAAATTAAAAGTTATGTTATACACTTTGTTTTTACACATAATTAAATTACTTTCAACGATTTATTATCAATTTTTATTATTATAAGTGATACTTTAATATTCTTATGAATATAATTATTTTTTATCATGTCTTTTTTCATATAACCACCCATTAACCTTAATATTTTTATTTTTTACTTTTTTTTGTAGAGGTCCAATATTCACTATCATATATAGTTGGTTGCATGCAATAAAAAAAAATTCTTTCAGTTTTGTAAATATTTTACAATCACAAATAACTTTTAATGTCCAAAACACTTAACTTATATTATATAAGTAATATCTCTATTAATTTATCTATCATTTTCTAAAATTAATTTCAAATATTTAGAAATTTGTAATATAATATTATTTCTAATTTTAATTTTTAATACAAAATTTTCATTTTTTAAATTAAAATTATAATATATATACTCTATCTTACTTTTGTATTAACAATAACTTTTAAATTTAAAATTTCTTTTCATAACCCAAATTTAATGTTGATCTCCTATTTTGATTCTTAATAAAAATATATCAAATGACATACACTTAAAAATAATTTTTTTCATGTTACTTATAAGCATATCTAATACTGTATCACTTGCATTAATTATTTAAATAACAAAATTGTCAGAAGATTCTTTCTGCTTCTAACACCTATTAAATTTGTTCTTTTCCCTTTTTTTTTTTCCTTCGTCAAGTAATTGACACTTTAAATTAATTATAAAAAGATAAACATGAATAATGTCTACTAAATATTTCCACCAAATAAATAAATTAATTAGGAAGAGGTCATTTTAAATTAATAAATAGTATTAATTTTGAGTCTCTAATAGAATAAACTTAATTATAACAAATGTGTTTTTTCTGCTTCAATTCTAATTTGGCTTTAAAGTTAAGAAAACTTGTTAATTTCAATCTTTAAGATTGAATTCAAATAACCAATAAAGAAAAGATTTTATTAAAAAATATTTATTACAGTTTTATATCAATTTAATAAATATAATTTTAAAAAAATATTTATTATTTTTATATGCCTAAACTTAATCTTAAATATAAAAGTTAACAAAAGTTATTGCATAAAACTTTTCTAAAGTTAGTAAACTTTTGCATTTCCGTATTCTTGACACTAATTAGATAAAAGAAATACCGTTTCATACTCAAATATAAGAAAAAAGTTAATTTATACTAATTAAGAATACTAGTTAACCTTATTTATTTTTTTTAATCTTATCTAAAACGGAAAGGTTATTTCCTAAACAGCCCTTTATGATATTTATTACAAAGAAAATGAGATTTAGTTAATTGCAGAAAAGAGCTGTTTAACATTTTTCATTAACCTTAAACGGATTAGTGTGTTTAAGTTTTCACACTAAAAATTATGCAAAGATAGAATTTTTTGTCCTCTTGCATTAAATTTTTTTTTTTTAAGTCTGGCTAACTAATACCTTTAAGAAATTGAAGATGATAAGTTTTTATTAAAATTTACGTTAGAAAAATTGAAAATAAAAAAATGTATTTATATATTTTTTAAAAACTCTATCATGTTATTTAATACTATGTCAAATAACAAAAATAGTAAGAAGATTCCTTCTCTCCTTTACACCTATTTAATTTGTTCTTTTTCTTTTTAGTCTGTTTCCATTAAATAATTGACCTTTACATTAATTATAAAAAAATAAACATGAATAATTTCTGCTAAATATTTCCACTAAATAAGTAAATTAATTAGTAAGAAATTATTTTAAAATAATAAATATTCTTGAGTTTGCGTCTCTAATAGAGTAAACTTAATTTAAATAATGCATTTTTGTGCTTCAGCTTTAGTTTTATTAAAAAAAAATTATTACATTTTTATAGCAATTTAATAAATATAAAATTTTAAAAGTGATATTTACCTCTTTTGGATGCTTAAACTTAATCTAAAGCTAACAAAACCCTTAAAATTGCATAAAACTTAAAGTTAGTAAACTTGTGCGTTTCTCTATCTAATTGGATAAAAGAAATTAAATACTCTTCCATACTCAAATTTCAGCGAAAAAAACTAATTTATACTAATTAAGAATATTAAATAACCTTATTTTATTTTTTAATCTCATCTAAAAGGTAAATTTATTTCCTAAACAGCCTTTTATATGATATTTCTTACAAAGAGAAAGAAATTAAAACCATATATTGTTAATAAATTGCACCCAATAAAATTGTTTAACATTTTCATCAACATTAAATGGATTAGTGTGTTTAAGTTTCCACACTAAAAATTGAGGTGAAGATACATTTTTATTTTGTCGTCCTTGCGTTAATGTTTTTTAAGTCTTGCTAACTAAGTACCTTTACGGAATTGAAAATATAAGTTTTGATTATAATTTACGTTAGACTGATTGAAAATCACAAAAAAAATGTATTTATTATATTTTTAACCAAAAAATAATTGATTACTTAACTAGTGTCTTAAGCGTACTGGTTAGCATTTTTCTTTTTTACACTTTTTAACCATAGGGACCTCGCATTGAATTTCCTCTACCTTCTTTGATGTTTCAACAACCAGAAATTACTCATCACTGTCATCTGTGGGTATAGATAAGGGGGGACAACTGTGAAAGAAAAAAATGGACCTTTCATGAAGATGATGTTGATGTTTTACGGATAAAATCATTCAGCATCTCAATGGAAGACTAAAGTTCTATGAGAGCTTTTGTCAGAAGAGAATACTTTCTCTATTTTGAAAGTGTCATGATTCATATCACTCGAATTAAAAAAGAACATTGGATACAAAATCAAATTAAGGTATTTCAAGAGTTGATGCGCTTACTAAGTTAAGTTGCAAACATGGTTCAAAGCTAGTGGTCTACAAAGTCCCTCCGAGTTGAGTATCTTAAAAATTGTTAACTAATGTTTTAGAAGTTTCTACTCTATGAAGGACTATTTTCAGTTTGTAGTTTTCTTCTTTGGGTTTAGCCCCTGCCAATTACCTTAAAAGAAGGGTATTTTGAAGATGATTTTGTTAAATACATTAAATTTATTGTAATTTTAACCGTATATCAAGTTCAAGTTTATTTATATTCAAGTTTGGAGAGAATAATTTGTAATATACCAAAGAATAGATAAAATTAAGTTGCTAATAAAATTTATCAAACTTTATAATTTTTACATAGTTTACACTTCTTTTAAAATTAATCTTTTTTCTTTTTCTAAAATCATTAATCATAATCAACACTTTTCTCTTTCATTTGAAGATATACACACTCATGAATTTTTTTAAAAAAATCTTTTATTTTTTAAAAATTGATTTATTGACAGCCTAATAAAACTGTCATCACTCGTTATCTTTTATCTCTTTCATCAATAGAATGGACTACTTCCTTGTCTATTACAAATGAGGACAAAACTTAGGTGTTTTAAGTTCTATTAGTATTGTTTATTAATTAAAATTAAAATTTTACTTTGGTAATTTGCAATAACATTAAATGCAAATATTTTACCAAAATAAAATTCTAATTTTAATTAATAAATAATACTAACAGCACTTAAAGAAAAATACTCATGTTTTGTCCTACAAATGTTCAACAATATCAAGAATTGAGGTGTACGTGCCAGATATTCCTATTGCTATAGCTGCTATTACTATTACCACTATGATTACTGTCTCAATCCCAAACTTCTTGTAAGTGCCAGAAATCTTCAAGTAGCATAAGCATACAAGCAGAATAGAAGCAGTGACACTTAGAAATGCTCCAACAAGGGACATGAGGTACGCAAAGAAAGGAACCGAAAGGGCAACAATGGTAGAGCTGATTACCAAGACAGTGCTGACTAAGATGTTAGTGACTCTATTTCTGTACCTCCTTGGAAGCAAATCATTCAAAGCATTGGTAATGGGTGTTGCCATCAAAGCAAACTTGCATATTGGATTGACCAAAGTTGTATATATTGCTATTTTGGAGCTTACTTTGTCTAGTGGCAGGCTTAATGTTACCTGTGATTCAACAGCTGGACCAAACATTAGGTAACCAATTACAGCCATGGCTGCATAACCAGCAGTGCTTAATACAAAGCTTATTAGAAGGACCTGTAATGTAAAAATAAAATAAAATTGATTAGAGAGATGAATGAAATTAATAATTAAGACTCGGTTTCTCTAAAGTGAAAAACAAGTAAGCTTACATATACTCTTAATTTAAATAAATTAAATTAACATAACACTTTAAGGTAGATGTCACTTTATTTTATTAATTTAAGAATTTTTGTTTTATTTTAAAGAAGTTAAATTCTGGAGATGAAAAATAAAACACGTATAAAATAAAAAAAAATATTTATAAACAATTTTTTTTATACAACTTTGGTTATCAATTTTCTTTGTAATTTAATTAAACTTTTAAAAGATCTGAATACAAAAAAAAAAAGAAAGATAAAAAGTAAATAAAATAAATAAACTTATAAAACATCATATATCATGTAATTAATTTATAATTGTTCAAACATGAGAACTGAAAATAAAATTAGTAAATCACTTACAGTGGAGAACTGTTGTTTGCTCTTCATGGAAGTGTACAAGGTGGGAAAAACCGGATGTGCACAATAACAAAAGGCATACAAACTAACAGCTGTAGGGATTCCATTCCAATTAACAAGAGTACCCTTTTGATTGAAACCAACTCCATCTAACGCTCCAGTCCATGTTATTGACAAGATTATGATAGCACTAGCAAACACTCCACTTGCAGACACATAAGAAAGTAAACTCAAGTTATCTAACCAAACTGTGGGCAAGATAATAATAGCAACCAATATCACAAAGAATTGCTGCCCATTAATTGTTAAACCAGCTATCTGAAACTCCCCAATGGGGAATATATTATTCAAGTTATCACCTTCTAGAATCAAGAACCCTGTTGAAACTAAGTATAGTTCCGTGTAGATGACTGCTGATACTAATAGTCTTCCTATCTTTCCAAATGCAAGCTCACCTATGTCAGGATAGCTTCTAAGATTCGGATTCAAATCCAAACATCTTTTCATCAATATGGCTGTGTAAAAGGCTGCAGTGGCAAAAACCAACAGAAAACCCAAGCTTATCCACCCTCCAGATGCAAGAGCGTATGGAACTGAGAGTATGCCAACACCTGGGATGTGTGAAAATTTAGCATTTAATAAGATTTGTTTCAAGTAAAGATAGCATCTTACTGTTGCGGTTGCTCCAAGCTTGAGGAATATCAACAAATAAAAAATTAATCTTTCTTCTTACTTAAAAAATAAATTTATCAAAAAATTACATAAATTGTCTAATATAAAGCTGTTACTCAAAATAAGCAGAGAAATATTTTAATAACTAAATGACGAGATCCATTAATAAGGATTGAAATCGTATCTATCGCAAAAGGAATTAGATACTTATGTAAATACTTATTATAAACTTGATGCGTGTCCTGATATTGATGAACTTCTAACACCTTACTCAGGTAAACTTTCTTGAACAAAAAAAAAAAACTAAATGAAGTGCCAAGTGTGACAGATAAAGGAACCTGATATTGCATTGAGTCCATTGATGCAAGTGCGAAAGAAGGACACATTGCGATCGGAAGAAGCATGAGAGGCAATAGCTTTCTCGGCAGCAATAGCTTGGCCTTTATCATGGTGCCCCCACTCGGGTAGTAAAGGCACACTCAAGCCTGAATTGTTGGAATGCTTTTCTGTCATCGAACAAAAACGATTGGTGAATAATATAACTTGAAGCTAACTTGATTCTTTTGTTATAAGCACAAGTTCGCAAATCTCAAAGGTTAATGCTGGCTCTTGAAGTTTCGTGGATCGAGGTACCTCGCTCAAGTGGCCTTATATAACATAAATTCTTTACCATATCTCGTTTTCCACGAGTCCCGCAAACATTTAAATTATAATCCTGTTCTACATCTTATGTCCCCTTCCAAATTTTAGCCACTTAAAATCCTCAACTTTAAATAAATAAATAAAAAAGAATATTAAAAAAAATAATTTATGATTTTTAGCTTTTTATTTTATTAGATGTATATTAAGATAAGCGTTTATCTTACTAAAATATGACTATTATAATGAGAACATGTTTGTCCCTGCGTTGATAACTTTCATTGGATTACGGCAAACTTTTTTATTTGAAATTTTGTTGTCACTCTTTTGTATCTTCTAACAGCCTGTCAGTTTTACCATTTCAACTTTCATTTACATAAAACAAATATTACGTTCAAAAAATGTGTCTCATACAGTATTGAATTTTTTAACGTGAATCATGTATTGGGAATTTAAGGGATAAAAAAAATACTAAAGATGTATACACGAACACTCGTTGGAAAATCATACAATATACTGCAATCATATTTCAATAAACTTTTATAGACAAATCTTTTAATTTAGTTAGCAAGTTGGAATTAATGTAAGCATTCAGCCACTTCTGTCATCCACTGATAATTATATTTGGTTCGTGTCATGATTGAGATGAGTTATATAAACGACCTTTAACGAATCTTTTTTATTTTATCATCCATCAAACAACAAAGACGTGTGTCGGTAGAGTGTAAATTAATACAAATTAATATTAGTAACAAAAATTAAAGTTAAAAAACCCAAATTTAAATTAACTGAAAATAAAAAATAAAAAATATACAATTTTTATTAGATTAAATTAAAATTTAATGTAAATCAATTTTAAAAAAACTGTATTATATCCTATAATTAAGTGGAATAGTTTTTTCTTTTAAAAAAAAATCAACCTATAAAGACCTTTTGGGGACAGAACTTCAAATTTAAGGCACATAAATATGGAACCCACTGGATAACACGGATTTTGCATGGAAAGAGTACAAAGGAAATTTGTCCACCGCTTAGTCACTTTGTCGAGTAGTGACAGCAAATTTAAATAATTTTGTGGGATCAATCTTTACATTTCTCGCCATTGGAGGCGCAATTTTGGGGTGACAGGTTGATGTTCTTGGATAAACATGTGCTTATGTGCAATGTGCATGTACTTCTTTTTTCTTTTGGGAGAGGGAACGAAGCTGGCACCATTTTTTTTAAAATTTATTTTTAGTTAAAAAATTTTATATTTTGCGTTAAATTTAATTTTAAAATTAATATATATCATATTTCTTTTTTTATATCTCATTTTTACTTATCAAAACAAATGACAAGAGGTTTTTTCACTTCTTTTTCTCATAGTTTTATTATCTATTTTTATTATATTTCTATTATGTTTTTTCTTTTCTAATTTTGTCCATTCTAAATATTGATCTTCAATTCTACCAAAAAAACTTTAATTTTTTGGTGGTCCTATTACTTGAGCTGAAAAGGATGGATCAAACCCAAAATAGTTATTCCAAATAAATGTATTTGGTGTCCTATTTATTTAACTTTATTGTCTCTGGGGTCCTATTTATTTACCTTGGTCCAACTTAGGTTTAACACCAATGACATAAAATAGTTGGTAAAGGGTTATTTTAAATTAATTAATGATATAAATTTCAACTCCAAAAAAAAGTTGCTACATTAAAATTCTATATAAAAACCTTTAATATTCTTCATGGTCTATGTAACTCAAATTTGATTAAGATAGATCAAGCAAAAAACAAAGGATAACATTTTGTTTTGCAAAATCCAACTAAATGAAACCAATTGTAATTGAAGCATTTTTTATTCCTAGCTCTCGTACAATTTTAACAGCTTGTTTAATGAATATGATATATTTTTTTATAATATTATATATATATATATATATATATATATATAATTTAATAAAATATGATAAAAGTTATTTTACAGAAAAGTCCAAGTTAATGAGATATAGTAGAGTAATATAATATAATTAACTTATTATTTTAGTACGCATTAGATTTAATTTCCAGTGGTTATTATGTTATATCAATCTCCTCCTTTTTCTTTGTATAATGAATCATATTTATCATTTTTTTTCTTATCTCTCTATTCTCTTAAAATACACCTTGGAGAGTGAAAGAAAAAATTTCTTTTGAAATTATTGACAATAGAATGGACCATTGCATTGCCGATTACAAATGGTGAACAATTTCATAGACTGAAGTGTATGTACCAGATACACCCATTGCTACAGCTGCTACTACTATTGCCCCTATGACTACAGTCTCAAACCCAAATTTCCTGTAAGTGCCTGAAATCTTTAAGTAGCACAAGCATGGAAGCATAATAGAAGCAGTGACACTTAGAAATGCTCCAACAAGGGACATGAGATCTCCAAAGAAAGGAACAGCGAGTGCAACAATGGTTGTGCTGATTACCAAGACAGTGCTGACTAAGATGCTGGTGACCCTATTCTTGTACGTCCTTGGAAGCAAATCTTTCAAAGCATTGGTAATAGGTGTTGCCATCAAAGCAAACTTGCATATGGGATTGACCAAAGTTGTATATATTGCTATTTTGGAGCTTACTTTATCTAGTGGCAGGTTTAATGTTACCTGTGATTCAACATCTGGACCAAACATTAGGTAACCAATTATAGCCATGGATGCATATCCGGCAGTGGTTAACAGAAAGCACACTAGCAGGACCTACAATGTAAAGTAAAAATATAATTGATTAGATACAGATATACATCTGGACAAGGTTGGGTCCTCAAAAGTATAATAAAAGTCATTAAATGAAACATTAAATGGAGCCAGATATGGATGTACCTCAGGACCTACAAATAAATCTTATTTAAAAATAGGATAAATGCTAACCAATACCTTTAAAGTTATCATAAAATGTAATAAATAAACTTTTCTCCATGATTTTAAATCAACCGTAATAAATTCACTTGTGATTCCTTAATCATTGTGAGCACTGTTAGCGAGACTATAAAAATGATTATCTGTAATGTCACGTATCATTGAGTGAACTCGATTACATGAATCACACACCCTCGTTGATCATTATAATATATAATCTCACAAGTCATGTATTAATTTATAAAATTGTTCACATATTAGAAATGAAAGTAAATTTAGTAAAGCACACTTACATTGGAGAATTGATGTTTTTTCCTCATGGAACTGTACAAGGTGGGAAACACCGGGTGTGCACAATAACAAAAGGCGTACAAGCTAACAGCTGTAGGGATTCCACCCCAGTGAACAAGAGTTCCCTTTTGATGAAAACCAACTCCATCAAACGCTCCAGTCCATGTTATCGACAAGATGATGATAGCACTAGCAAACACTCCACTTGCAGACACATAAGAAAGTAAACTCAAGTTGTCCAACCACACTGTGGGCAAAATAATCAGAGCAACCAATATCACAAAGAATTGCTTTCCACCAATTGTTGAACCACCCATCTGAATCTCCCCAATGGGAAATAAGTTATTCAAGTTATCCCCTTCTAGAATCAAGAACCCTGTTGAAACTAAGTACAGTTCTGTGTACATCAACAGTGATACTATTAATCTTCCTGTCTTTCCAAATGCAAGCTCCCCAATGTCAGGATAGGTTCTAATATTTGAATCCTTATCCATACATCTTCCCATCAAAAGGGCTGTGTAATAAGCTGTAGAAGCAAAAGCCAACAGAAAAGCCAAGCTTATCCATCCTCCAGAAGCAAGAGCATATGGAACTGAGAGTATGCCGACACCTGGTAAGTGGGAAACAAAGCCATGCATGCACAACAAATTAGCATTTAATAAAATTCTGTTTTAAAAGAAAACAGCATGTTACTGTTAAGGTTGCACTAGGAATAACAGCAAATAAAACAAGGAAAAAACATAATGCAATGTTCAATGTTTAAGAAAAATTATTGTTTTTTATAGTAAGTAAATTAAGTGCATGGCATGTGCCATGTGGTTGCATAAAATGAGACCTGCTATTGCATTGAGTCCATTAATACAGGTGGAAATGAAGGATACAGTATCTTTGGTAGAAGAATGAGAGGCTATAACTTTCTCCTCATCTATGGCGTGCCGTAGATCATGGTGCTTTAAATCTGGTAGTAAAGGCACACGAAAGGTTGAATTGTTGGAATGTTTTTCTGACATTTGAACAATAATGGATACAAAGGTTGAAGGGAACCCTTGAATTTTGTGCAACAAGCAGAAGTTTGCAAATGTCCAAGGTTTGATGTGGGAGTTGTGGGATGGATTGAAGTGGCCTAAATACATAAATTTTCTACCAGATTTCGCTTTCCAATAGTCACAAAAACCTTTAAGATGTGAACCAATTAAGCAAATTTCTAGCTGTCAAATTTGAGCCACAGAAACCCCGTTATTTTATCTAACAAATCAAACTTGGTTCAGATTAGGACATAAGAAAGCCTTAGCACGTTAATAAGCTTATTTTAAACGTGTTTTTCAATGTGTATCGACGCGGATTGAGAAAACAGACAAAAAAAAAGAGAGTATTTTTAACAAATATACTTATTATATTTAAAAGATACTTAAAAAGTATATTCAAGATTTATTTTCTTAAAAAATAAGAGTATGTTTGAGAGGAAATTTTAGAAGAGAGAAGAGTAAAAAATATATTTTTTTTAATTTTTAATTTTAGAAATTATATATTATTTATGATGATAAATATATGATTAATGTACCAAATTTATGTTAATATATTAATTTATTATAAAAATTATTAATTTTAAATATATTTATTTAAAATATAAAAGAAACCCTCATACGTGGAAAAACAGTTAAAATTAAGATAATTTAAAAACAAACAAAAAAGAAAGAACAATTAAGTAAGAGTAAAAGATAAATTATAATTTTTGAAATGGTGTCAAATTTCTCAAACGTAAATTCATTCTAATAAAATATAACTTTTAGTACTATAATTTTTATAATAACAATTTATTATCCATGGAAACGTGTTATAACTTTCCAGCAGATACATGTTTGATTTGATAGCAGCCCGAAATGTGGTACTAAGCATGGCCCATGGCTCCATAAGTCGTTTATGGCAATTTACGAAAAGACAATTTTGACCCGGAAAAAGAAAAGAAAATTGACAACCAAAAGTCCTTGATCACATGATCTTTTACAATTTCTCACATGAAAGATAAAAAGGTTAAATAATGTTTTATTCTCTAAAAAATTATAATTTTCTAAATTCATCACTTATTTTTAATTTGTATATAAATTTTTAAAAATCATTTTTTATTTTTTTATATAATCTTTTGTCAATAATTAAATATTTTTATATGTAATAACTTACTTGATCCATATAACTAAGTTAAATGTCATGCAAGCAAATAAATTACTAATTAAAGAGTGAAATAAAATATAAATCAAATTTAAATAATAATAATAATAAACAAATAAATAATTCCTAAATTTTTAAAACACTAAAATTTTATTTAAGATAAAGATGAAGTAAATTACCAGCATTGTTATTTAATTCTTACAGTATATTTATAGAATCTCTTTAAATATTTTTTGTAATACTGTTTTTTTATTTATCTCTTAATTAAGAAAATATAAATAAAATTAATACAAATATAATTTTACTTATAAAATATCAAGTGTTATAAAGCTACCAAATGATTTTGAATTTATTTTCTTAATTTTTTTATGAAAGTAAAAAAAAAAAAAACCATCGTTTCTTTAGTTTAATGCTGATTGTAACGCAATAAAATAGGTTTGTCTTTTAGTTGCAAATAAAAGTAAAAGAAAATGAATAAAGGCCTTTTTGTAGAACTTCCAGAACCTATGTTTTGAATGTATTCACTGATTGACATGCTTTTCACAGTTTGTCGTTTATGAAAAGATTTGTTAGTATGTTTTTTAAAATAAGCATTATCGTCCTTCATTCATTATAATTTATTCTTATAGTTACGTGATATTAATTTTTTTAAGCATTATTTTTGTCACTAAATTTATTTAACCAAATGAATTTGGTTCTATCAATTATGAGAGTTCAATTCGGACTGACAACTTGTTTGATTAAAAGGTTTGCACAATTTTCTATGCATTTAAACTTTATTTGTAAAATTAATTTAAATATGAGATTTGACAAAAGAGCAATTATTTTCAATTATTGTAGAACTCCATTTCCAAAAATGGACGACTGGGCCAAGCCGAATAAGAAGAGCCCAAAAAATTTATCTAGAGAACAAAGTTTACGTGTTTTCCAAGCTCGTACTCATATTATATAATGATTCTAATAAATTATTACTAACATGACACATTCTAATTTGCTATGATTAGTGAATAAAATTAAAATTAAAACAGCAGTTTGTACTGCGTCTCTGTGGACCATTTCAGACGACAAAAAGCAAAAGGTGGTCCTGTTCATTCCCCAGCATCGCACTACGACGTTATTATTGTTCTTCTAAACGGAAAAGACAAATTTAAGCAATGTAATACTTTTTTAATCAGAATTAAAGTGTATATACATGTATGTATAAATCTTAAAAATATAATTTAAATATAAAAACACTAAAACATATCTCACTTTTAAAGACAAAAACAATATTGGAGGATCAAGATCCTTCGATTTTCAAAAGTTATCTGCATTCCGTGCAGTTCTTAATCTCACCTTTCATTTCTATTAAGTAAATTTTTATAATGATTGGTAATATTTTATAATTGTATGTTGTGCAGTTAAGTTTTGAACTATAAAGATCCATTTCCGTATACCGGAAAGCTCCCCGATAAATAGAAAAAGCCATGAACAAAGGAAAAAGGAGTCTTTATTTTTTTCAAAAAAAATTATTAACTTTTAAATTTTGTAAGATGATATTTATTTTATTTTTAATAAATAATAATAAAAAATCTAGAAAAATAAAATAAAACTTTCAGAGAGTAAAAAAAAATATTAAAAAATTATAACTACAACCCTGATCCAAATAATTTCGTGTGTATCTAGATTCACTTTTTTAAAAAATTATAAACTGAGATCCAACGTAAAATTCGGGAATAATAAAGTTAAAACAAAAGAACATAGATCCACCATCGTTTAAACATAAATCTAAACAAGCACTGAAAAAAGCATATATTAAAAAAAATTACTGTGCTTTATCCTCCACAACAGCAAGAGGGGTTATGTGAAATACACAGAAGAGGAAGAGAAAGAGAAAGATAGGAAGTGATATAAGATGGAGATCGGCAACAAAAAAAAGAAGAAGAGAAATACCTGACAAAGCATTGAGGCCGTTGAAGCAAGTATTGAGATTGCTGGAACCATTATCAGAAGTTTGGGATCTTTCACGCCAGTGTTGAGTTTGGTCTTCAATTAGCGGAATATTAAGGTTGGCACTGTCATCGTACTGTTGGCCAGCCATTGATGCTGTGGGGAGAAGAGAGAGTCTATGCGTAATGCTTGTTGGGTATTAGGTTTGCCGCCTCTCTGCAACTAAAAAGTGCCAACAAGAATGTTTATATATATGGGATTGTGTGCAATCCCGTAGTGGTTCATCTCAACTTTGCTTCTTTTAGGCTGTTTCTTTTTTTTTTATTTTTCAAACTCACAATAAATTATTTTCTATTTTTATGAAAATTATATAATTATTCTAAATTTATCAAAAACACTTCTTAGTATTTTTTTAGAGAGAAATTAAAAAATGAAAAGACTAATAATTTTTTTTATCAAAAATTTGTTTAATATCTATAAAATACAAATGAAAATAAAATAAAATATATAACTATCGATTATTTTTAATTTAAAAAACTAAAGTTGGTAAAAAAAAAAAAAAACACTCTAGAAACATCTCTTTACTTAGAAAATAATAATAAAAGGAGTACAAAATGGTTCGTGGTTACGTGTTAGACTGCTAGGTTCAGGGTCACGGATTTGCAGATAAGTGTTAAGACAAGAGGCTGCCCGTGCTGATCAAATTGCCCCAGCTGGTTTGATTGAAAAATATTTGAAAAATACTATTAACGTAATTTCTAATCTATATTTTTTAATATACTCTTATTTGTTAATTGAAAATTACTATAAATTAAATAATTATATAAATGGTACTCTTGATTTTATTTTTAATATTTGATATCTTTTATAATTTTTATTAAATTTAACTTGTAACTAAAATATATTACAAATATTTTAAAATCTTATTCTCAAAATATTTTGTACACCAAAATTTGGAGAACTTTGTAGTTTCTTTTATTTTAATATATATATATATATATATATATATATAATAACTATCTTTTTAAGTTGTGTAATATTGTACAATATAAAAAAATATGTATAGTAAATTTTGTACACAAAAACTGGTAATATTTTATTTTATTTTATTTTAATATATGTATATGATAAATATTTAAATCTGTATAATATTATAAACATGAAATATATATATATAATAAATTTTTATTAATAATTATAATATTTAATATTATCAATATATTTATTTAAGTTATAATTTTTATTAAAAAAAATTACAAAGACAGGGTGTCCATCATCTCTATTCTCTACGATATAACAAAATAGGTAACATCACATAATTATATGCCACATGTTCATTCCTTCCTTTTTCAATTTCGGGGTCAGGTCCTTATTTTTTCCTCTCTTTTTACTACATAATAATGCAAACTAAAATAATATATATAAGAATATCGTAAAAGACAGAGAAGCTAATAAAATCACATTTAAAAATAAATTAATATTAGATTAATATTAAAAGATACAAAGGTAAAAAATAAACAAAATAAAAATAACAGTACAATAATAGCCATAAACTTATAAAATAAAAATATAAAAATATTAAGCATGAAATGATATCATAAACATTTACGTTTATTAAAAAAAATATTTTATATATCAGAATTATTTTATCATTAATTATATGAAAGGGTATTTGTATAAATTTTTTACACATTATTTGTAATAATAGTGCTATTTTATTTTTAAAAATCACAATTAATTGATTATTATTATTTTACTGATATACATTATTGTTTATATATATGTCCATGCAATACACGGATTCAAAATCTAGTTTCATATTCAAATGATAAAATTATTTTAACTGAGAAATCAACTTGCTCTTGGAATCAGACAAAACAATGAGGGGAGAGTCTACCCAAGTAATAGTGTGGACTAAGCGTAGGCCATAATTTCATGGGCTCACCTGTTTTGAGGGCTAACCTTCGTAGAAACGCGAGTCATATATGTATATAAGTTTAGTCAATGTAGGCTGCAAATGATGTCAAAATCGAGTCATTCATAGCAAAAGCATTGCCATTTGGATTTGTAATTCTAAATTATAATCTTTAGCAAAGGTGACGTGGATTGTTTATCATTGTTTCTATCTTTGTCTTTGGATTGCATTTCGGATCACATGCCACAAATAAATAATTACATGTGCTTACCCAATTTCACCGGCTGTAGAGCTCTACCCACCCAAGTACACCAGGTTGTTTGCACCACATTTCATTGGATAGGAAGATTTACTAAAGTATTCAAAATTGTATATATTGAATGGGTATTTAATAAATAAATAAAATACCTAGTTAATTGTCTAAAACATGTTAAGATAAGTTGAGAGTACAGAGTTAAATCAGAACTTCGTTTTCATTCAAGACCAAGGCTTCTAAGCCAATTTAGAACTAGCATTTCTGATGTTGTTATTCAAATAGCAAAGAATTTGCCATATGCTACCTTTAATCTATCCTTTGGATTAACAGAGATAACATAATAATAAAGATAAACAAAATAGGCACCAACAATCCTAATTGTTACAAGAAACATTTCTTTTACTTTGGAAAATTGAATAGATTTCTACCTAATTTATTTCATATGCCTACCTAATCTATTCTCATGTGTTTACTATTCTGTCAAAGAGGTCTCTCAACAACATTCTAATTTTGCACCAAATTTTGGTTTGAGTCAGTAAATCTTTGAACCACTTTTCTATATAACATATAGTAAGTCACTTGGAAACCATTTTCTGCACATATAATGGTAAGTTTCATTTAAGAATGGTAATTTATAAGTCGTTTATGGGACCTAAATTCTACATAACATTAACTCTCAAAACTAAAACAAGAGCCTAGAGTGACTTAATGTCACTCTAAAAAGGTGGCTCATTAACTCTCATGACTAAAAGAAAAGCCTAGAGCGACGTAATGTCACTCTAAAAAAAGGTGGCTCATTACAATTCTTGTCATAGTGACAGTAAATTTCCAAGCAATTTTATAATGATATCAGATTATACATTCATTGCTTCAATTCATTTTCAGCATAATATGGTGGGAACAGAGTGGTATTCTACAGTTGTTTTAGAACATGTGCAAAACATAGATAGACTTAAAAACTCAATAAAAAGTGGCATTGTTTCTCTCATATTTGTTCTTGTTATCTCCAAGGGTGGGAACAAAATGTCATAGGGTTGTTAAACCAATTTCTCCTTTACTATTGCCTTGACAATAACGTGGGAAAGAGGAAGTGGGATGGGTGTCTTTTTTGAAGCCAAAGGATTTTTTTTTTTATAAATCTGAGTCGAAGTTTTAAAGGATAAGCGTTTAATGTAACTGACAAAATAAATCGAATGAGAAGTTTGCATAATAGTACCCTGCACTCCGCAGCATATTGTAAATGAAAAAAAGAAGTTCAACGAGGAATTTGCATTGACAATCAAATCTGAATTTGACCCTTCTAATTTAACCCACGTTTGGTCCTCAAATCTTGACTATAAAAAATAGAAGAATATCTGAATATGAGATTTTTCGTTGAAATGTGAAGGTAATCTTCTACTCTTTCATTTTCTATTTTTCGTTTTTATACTGGGGGATGGTCCCGGGGTAAAGTTTATTCAGATCAATCCAAGTTAGTGCTATGATTAAAAAGTGTAAAATGTTTTTGGTTTATAATTAAAAAGTTGGAACAATATAGTTGATCTTATCTATATTTTTGGTAGAGCCCAGCTGCAACAAATGATTTGGATGTTACATAAATTGGTTCAAATTTTCTTTCTTTCTGATCTGATAATCATAGCTAAAAACTTCACTTAAGAATATAAAGAAGAAAAATTAATCATGACCTTTCATCAATTAAAAAAAAGCAGGAGCAAGGTACTATATCTTCATTATTTAAATTATTGTTTGCAGTTTATGGCTAAAATCTTTGATGAAAATGGTGATAATTAAGTAAGACAAGGATATGTATTAGATATATAAATATTAAATTTTCAATTATATACTAAAATTAATAATGGTCCAAAATAAAACAAAATGCACCATAAAAAATTATGAATAGAAGACGCAGAATTTGATAACATAAGCTATTATAATTGTAAAAACTGTTTGAAAATGTTAAAAAGCAAAAATGAATTAAGTTTGAATAGTAGTGCTGCTAATTTAAAGTGAGCAAATTTGTAGATATTTTTTGGTCTGTGAAAGGAACACGTTTAGGTTGTACTCCCTTCGAAGCGTAAATTAAATTACTATATTTATTAAAGTTCTCTGGCAGTGGCTTTGAATAAAAAAAGTAAGGAAAACTTTTGAAGCAACTGCTATGTATCATTGGTGATTAAAACACGTAGTGAACAGACAATATGCTTAAAAAATCAACAATTAGGTTTTGGTTGAGTTTAAGATGAAAAAGGAAAGGAAAATAGTATTTTAGGAAAGAAGAGGAAAGTTAATAAAAAATTATCTAAAATAGAGAAACATAAAATCATGGGCTTAGTAAATTTTTAAAATTTATAAAATATCTCCCTCACATCATTCTATATCACATTAGTTTTATAATCCATGTTTATCCTCTTTTTCTTTATTCAAAATATATGCTCAAATGGTTATCGTTTTACTACCAAAAAGAATAATATTAAAATTAAAGTAAGGAAAATAACTATCTACCACAAAAAAAACTTAAAAAATAGTTTTCCATCACCTTAAAAAATAATTTAAAATGTGCTAATAAGTATTACTATACAAAATTAGATGCATTTAGACAACAATTTATAATTGTTTGTTGAACTTACTTTCCAAGTACTCCTATAAATGAATCATTACAGTTAAAATTATCATCATTTAGGTAGAAATAGTATTTTGTTCAAAATTATTTATTAATTTAAAAAATTTATATACTGAAACTTTTAAGGAAAATAAACATTTTATCCAAGATTATAAAAAAAGACTACCTTTACTAACACAAGACAGAAGATAAAAAAAAAAAAAGAAGAGGAATTAGATTACGTGTGATGCTGCTATCATTACAAATTAAAATGTCTTATGCTTGTATTTATTTATAAGCTAGAAGTTATAATGGTATTTTGACGGTATGTAACGTGCTGTCAACCACGAGTATATTCACCGTATTTGGCAAATTGTACACGATACACTAGGTAGTATATATTATCGGATTAAAAATGTTTTCAGTCTTTAAAAAAATTAATTTTAATTTTAGTTACTCAAATTATATCGCTGGTTCTTATTTTTTGTGTTAATCAATTGTAA